CAGGGGGCTCAGTCAGAGGCGTCTCCAATAACATACCCCGGACCCCTGCAGCCCAGAGAGACTGAGAGTACCAGCCTCCGCCGGGCAGCTGGACAGGGACGGGAATGGGGGCGGGGGGGGGGAGTCTCCTGGGCTCCTGCGGGGTGCGGTGCCCCCTTGCTTGCCCTCCCTGCCCAGGCTGAGATGCCTGCCTCTCGGAGACAGTGGCCATGTCCATGCAGTGCGCTTGGTCCCCTGCCCTGGCATCCGGGTGACTGCCTCTTACGAGGGTGGGGGATGGAAGGGAAGAGGCAGTGGGGAAGGGATATGGGGCGGGAGAAAGGGAAACTCAATCTGTCCGGGGAAACCTTCCTAGCAGTGCAATCTCTGCCTTGGGGTGTGGATGGAACAGTCTCCCAAGGGAAGGGCTAGTGTGTGACCCCTGCGGTACAACCTGGGCTGGAAGAAACTGTCTCCTGTTTTATATGTTTAGTCCATGTGCTCTGGCAAACATAAGTCCAAGCATCATGTTGGTGGGGGCGGGCACTGCTGAGTCCCAGGGTTGAGTAATTCTCATTGAATTGCTAATTGTCATTCACTTGGCTGCACAATGGCTGGTGATGGTTGTGTAGCATCCACCCAGCCATTCGGTCAAGTGCCTTGTTGTTTCTGGGGAGATGCCTTCTGAGCTACTCCCAGATTTGCAGCATATTTCATTAACACCATACAGCACTATTTCACAACTTTATGCACTTTAATGATACACATATTTCGACAGAACAGTGGGTTTCAGCAAATCATAACCTTTTCCATGATACCTTACATGGCCTGCTTGATATGAAATATAAAGAATATATACAAACGATGAATATGGGGCCTAGAGAGCACAGCACGCCACTCCCCCAAGGTATAGAGGAGTGGATCTCAAACTTTTATACAGGTGACCCCCTTTCACATAGCAAGCCTCTGAGTGCGACCCCCCCCATATAAATTAAAAACACTTTTAATATATTTAACACCATTATAAATGCTGGAGGCAAAGCGGGCTTTGGGGTGGAGGTTGTCAGATTGCAACTCCCCTATGTAATAACCTCGCGACCCCCTGCGGGGTCCTGACCCCCTCAATTTGGGAACCCCTGTTATAGAGCGTCACAGCTAGAAACTCCAAGGCTTTGGGACTTTTAAAAGGAGACTGGACAAAACATGCAGTAAGGATCAGCCCTGCATTGGCAGGGAGATGGACTGAGCCAGGATGATCACAGAGGGCTTTGCCCCCGGTAACTTCTATAATTCCATCCCTCTTTCCTGGGAGTACAAATTCTGGCACTAAAGACCTGGTGCCTGGATCCCACATTGCCTTGCACTGGGACTGGGAATTAGTGCCCGGACGTGCAACTCCTCCTATTGGGCCAGTGTAGAGCCTGCGGTTAGTACAGCCCCGTGCAGGTGCCCTTGTGTTTAGCTGACCCCTTGGACTCAGTCCCTGAGTGTAGCCCCACTAAACTGAGAGCTAGACGGACACTACTATCCTGCTGTGTGGATCCCAGTGTGCTTGTCCTGTGTCTGTCTGGCATGCACCCGTGGCTATATTCATCTCATTGTGCTGGCCGTGCTCCTTCTTTGGTGTGATGATGCCATTACGCTAAAATGAATCCTGAAAATAGCGACTTTTGCTGGTGAGAGAGAGAGACAAGCTTAGGAGCTTTCACAGAGTTCTTCTTCCTGAAGAAGGGCTCTGTGAACGCTCAACATCTTGTCTCTCTCGCCAACAGAAGCTGGTCCAATAAAAGATATCACCTCACCCCCCCTTTTTCCCCAATGTGAATAGCCTCCCTCCAAAACTGGCAGAGGTGCTCGGAGGAGGGGGCGGAGGGAATGAGCGGGTGGGCAGGCGGGGGAAGGGGTGGAGCGGGGGCGGCGTCTCGGGAGTGGGCAGAGTCGGGGTGGGGCCTCGGGAGGGCACCCACCGGCAAAACCAAAAGTCAGCACCAAGCCCTCATTCAGCTCTGCCGGTGCCCCTCAGTCCCAGCCTCCAGATTGAAGGAGCAGCCTCCAGAACAGCGTGCGCAGCAGAGAAGCCTGGCTGGGGGCGGGGGGTGCGTCCTGGGGTACATCCAATAATACTTCTGCCTGCGGTCTCCCATGTCCAGGGTGAGGCTCGAGCCTGTGACCTATAATCAGCCCCCTACTGCTTGAAATGGAGGGGCCACGCCTACCTCCTGCTGCAGTTGCACAGAGCAACCACTGGGGGGGGGGACAACCTCGTGGGCAGGCCAGCTGTTCCATTCCGACACAACTGGGGCTGTTCAGCAATAAGGAGTGTAGCTGGGGACTGCTTGAGCAAGAGGGGGCAAAGCCAGCCCTAGCAGCCCAGGCCCTGTTCTGGGGAAGGGGAGGCAAGTCCTACCATAGGATCCTGCCCCCAGAAGCATCCCCTCAGCACCCCAGGCACTTCAGGGCCCAGGGTTCACCCAGTTTATTTCCCCTGATTTCATAGAATCATAGAATATCAGGGTTGGAAGGGACCTCAGGAGGTCATCTAATCCAACCCCCTGCTCAAAGCAGGACCAACCTTAACTAAATCATCCCAGCCAAGGCTTTGTCAAGCTGGGCCTTAAAAACCTCTCAGGAAGGAGATTCCACCACCTCCCTAGGGAACCCATTCCAGTGCTTCACTACTCTCCTCCCTACGCAGACCTGCCCACTCCTGTTTCACCTTGTTTGCAGCCCCCAGGGAGATTGCACTTCCATCCTGCTGGCCCCACCGCAGGGCCCAGCTGGCAGGGTGCCATGGGGCTGAGCCCTTACCAGGACAGCAACGGGCTGGTTCCCTTTCTAGAGCCCTAGCCCTACATAATGGGTGGTGGGTGGGGTGGGGGAGAGGGGCAGGCTGTCTCTCCAAATTCCCCTGGAGGCTGGGGAGCAAGGAGAGACCCGTCCACAAGGCACGGGTTTGCAGCACAGTCATAAACATACTGGACGATATGGGGTAATACTGAATGTTACAGGATCTGCCAGGCTATCCTGGATTTCCCACTTCCTCTGACACCAAAGCGTTAGAGAGAGAATGCATGATGGACAGACAGATGGGTGAGTGTGGGGTTGGATAGAGAGATGGTTGCCGTGGTGCTGTAGCCGTGTTGATCCCAGGAGATGAGAAACAAGGTGGGGGAGGGAATATCTTTTATGGGACCAACTTCTGCTGGTGAAACAGACAAGCTGCACAGAGCTCTTCTTCGGGTCTGGGAAAGGTCCTCTGAGCGTCACAGCTACAGGCAAGGTGGAACAGATCGTACAGCATAGGTAGGTAGCACATACTGGAAGGAGGGGTAGTTAATAGGCAGACTGCAGGCCAAATCCGGACTGCCAGATGCTTCTGAACAGACCCTCAAATCTTTTTATTTATCGTTATTGTGGTGTGAAAAATGTTTCTCTGGAATCTGGACCTTGACAAAAAAATCATTTACTACCCCTGTTGTAAGAGAGGTTTCAGAGTAGCAGCCGTGTTAGTCTGTATTTGCAAAAAGAAAAGGAGGACTTGCGGCACCTTAGGGACTAACCAATTTATTTGAGCATGAGCTTTCGTGAGCTACAGCTCACTTCATCGGCTGCATAAAGTGGAAAATGCAGTGAGGATGTTTTATACACACAGACCATGAAAAAATGGGATCACTTCAAAAGGTTTATCACTTCAAAAGGTTTTCTCTCCCCCCACCCTACTCTCCTGCTGGTAATAGCTTATCTAAAATGATCACTCTCCTTACAATGTGTATGATAATCAAGGTGGGTCATTTCCAGCACAAATCCAGGGTTTAACAAGAACGTCTGTTAAAGAGACCGTTCAAGGCAGCGTGGCCCATTAACCCCTCTGCAGTCATAAGACAAAAAGGGGGCGTCCGTGGGTTACAGTTTGTTGTGATAAGCCATAAAGGCAGAGTTATGAATGGACACTCCCAAGCTCCTCTTCTGAAGTGGTGCAGGTTTCTCTTGAGGTGGAGGCCTGAGAGGTCAGAGGCAGAGCGATCACTCTGTGAAAAGAGACAAGGTGGGGGAGGGAATGTCTTTTGTTGGACCAACTTCTGCTGGGGAGAGAGCCCAGCTTTCCAGCCACACAGAGCTCTTCTGCTAACCAAACCAACCCGGCTACAGCAGACAGACAGAGGTGCAGGGGGATAGAGAGATGGACCGATTTGTGCGCAGGGGTGACTAGACAAAGTAGCCTGTGGGGATAGACAGGCAGACAGAGAGGTGTGTGTGTGTGGGGGGATAGACAGGCAGACAGAGAGAGGTGTGTGTGTGGGGGGGATAGACAGGCAGACAGAGAGAGGTGTGTGTGTGGGGGTAGACAGGCAGACAGAGAGAGGTGGGGGGGGTAGACAGACAGAGAGGTGTGGGGAGCAGGGGATAGACAGGCAGACAGAGAGGTGTGTGTGTGGGGGGGATAGACAGGCAGACAGAGAGAGGTGTGTGTGGGGGGGGGGATAGACAGGCAGACAGAGAGAGGTGGGGGGGGGCGGGAGGATAGACAGGCAGACAGAGAGAGGTGTGGGGTGGGGTAGACAGGCAGACAGAGAGAGGTGGGGGGGTAGACAGACAAGACAAAGAGGTGGGGGGAGCGGGGGGATAGACAGGCAGAGAGGTGTGTGTGGGGGGGGTAGACAGGCAGACCGAGAGGTGTGGGGGGGCGGGGGGAGAGACAGGCAGACAGAGAGGTGTGGGGGGAAAGACAGGCAGACAGAGAGAGGGGTGTGTGTGTGTGTGGGGGGGGATAGACAGGCAGACCGACTGTGGTGCGGGGACAGGATAGGGAGCCCCTTGCTCCCCCAGGAAGCCCTGGCAGTGAAAGGGTTACACGCCCGCTCCCCTCCCCCCGGCCCATCGATCCAGTAACCAGCTGCCCGGCGCGGGGGCACCAAGCGGCAGCACCCGCCGGCTGGCGAAGATAATTGACCAGCCCCTGGGGGTGGGGGGCGGGTGACATCATCGCTTTAAACCCCAGCCTGCCCTGCCATTGGCTAAGGAGCTAATTCAGCGGGGGGGGGGGGGCGTGTGTCCTCCCCGCCTGGTCCCCTCCTCACCCAGTGGGGCTGGGGCGCGACTCGGCACCGCACGCCCGGGCCGGGAGCCGCCGCCAGACAAAGCCGGGTTTGGACGGGGGCTGCAGCAGGTGGCGAGAGGCGTTTCCCCGCGGATCGCAGCAGGTAACAGCCAGGCGGCCCTTTCCCTGCGGCCCCCCCCCCGGCTTGAGCTGAGCCCCCCCCCCCAGGCCAGTCCTGGGCTCTCTCTGCCCCCCCCCCATCCCCACCCCGCCGGGTTCCCGGCTGGAGCGGAGCTGCGGGGGAGGTTTGTTTTGATGTAGCCGGGTGTGAATCTTAATCGCCCAGCAGGTGCAAATCTCTCAGCTGGGCTTGGGGGGGGAGCCAGCGCCTTTGTTAGCCGGGGCGGCTTGACCCACCTCGCTTCTCCCCCCGCGCTGCGTCTGGCTGGAGCTGGCGGTGGGTGGGTGGCGCCCTAAGGTGGGGCGAAAGGGCTCTAAGGGTCACCCACTGCTCCGAGCCCCCTTTAGCAGTGGGGTCCTGTATGTTTTACCCTCCCTGGTGAGTACCACGGATGGCTCAGGGAGTCGTACCCCATGGATTCCCGACAGCTGACTGATATCCGGGGGGTTTCCTAGGTCGCCTTGGGGCTGCTACTCTGCCCATCAGAGAGGCCTGGGGGTGGGAATGGGGTTTGTAATGGAGGCCCAATGTGTCTGGTTCACTAATGCAATGGGGGGGAAGCGCGCTTCGCCTGTGGCTGTTTAAGGGTGTGAAGGCTGAGGGGATGGGCCTGGCAGTTCTGAGCCAGGCGTAAAGCTGCACCCAAAGTGGCTCTGGTTTAGCCCCTCCTGGGGCTCTTTCCAGGAGAAAAGTGCATGAGCTTTAATTCAAGGGGTGAATTTTAAACTCCTCGCCGCCAGCCCGGGCGGATGGGTGTGGAACCATGGCTAGGAAAGGGGCTTGGGAGAGCCATCCGGGGCCGACCCTCCTCGTGTGACCACAGCTCCCGCCAGCAGAAGTGTCCCAAGGAAAGACCAAAGCAACAGGCTTAAGCTAAATCTAAATCAGATGCTCTACGAGGGTTGGCAGTGATGCATGCGGGTATGTCTACACAACAGCTGCACAGGGGAGAGGGAATAAGCCAGACCAGCATCAGTGAATTTAAAACTGCAGCTGCACTAGGGGTTATGCTGATATGAGATGACTTTAAAAAGTCACACATAAACAACTGCCTGGTTACACAGTCCCAAGCGACTGAAACAAATCACCTGGTGAAGGCCCATGGGAACACTCTTTAACTAAACTGGTTTAAACTAACACCTGAGGAACACCATCTTTAACCTACCTCATGTAGCAGAGCCCTTGGTTAAAATTGTGCATTCACTGGGCTGAATACGGGGGTAAGTGAGTGGCAGTCTCTGGCCTGGTTAGACAGGAAGCTTGCATCTGATGAAGTGAGCTGTAGCTCACGAAAGCTCCTGCTCAAATAAATTGGTTAGTCTCTAAGGTGCCACAAGTCCTCCTTTTCTTTTTGTGAATACAGACTAACACGGCTGTTCCTCTGAAACCTGTCATAGATGCTCCAACAGCCCCTTCTGGTCTTAAAATTGCTGTGTGGGTTGGCCAGGGCTGTAGGTAGTTGGATTAAATTAGAGAGGCAGCGAATCCTCATCAGAAATTGACAGATCATGACCAACCACTGTCTTAAGTACAGAAGGGGATTCACCCCCATGCTGTGGTCTCCAGTGTCTGGTCATTGCATGTGGGACAAACGCTCCTCTTTGCGAGGAGGGGAATTGCCTAACTCATCTTTCAGAGGAACAGCCCTTGTGGCACCTTAGAGACTAACCAATTTATTTGAGCATGAGCTTTCGTGAGCCACAGCTCACTTCATCAGAGCTTTGGCTCACGAAAGCTCATGCTCAAATAAATTGGTTAGTCTCTAAGGTGCCACAAGTACTCCTTTTCTTTTTGCTAACTCATCTTGTTCTGTGAATGCACAAGGGTCTTGGTATCTCTCTGCTGAGATGAGTAAAAGACGCTCCACCCTGGATTCTGTCTGTGGATTAAATCCAGTTTATAAACTAAATGGCTGATCCATGAATAATTAGTTTATTGATTGGTTTAAGGGAGTAGCTGCCAGGTTGGAATGGGATTATTTAATTTCAACCCCACTGCTGAGAGAGACTGAGGAAGGTCCTGTTTTGAGATGTCTCTTCCTCCCCACTGCACCCCACACAGTGTCCCTTGATGCCAGGGAAGCTGTCATCTTGTAGGGCTCCTGTTGTGAAGGCCTCTTGGGCAAGGCCTGTGTCTCTGAGCAGAGGCACCTGGGGAGCAAGAGGATCTGGTGTCTCCAGCCCCCGCCCGACTGGTATATCCTGATCTGTCGGGCACATTCTGCCCCGGAGGGGGAGGGGGCTTTGGGAGCCCACAGTAAATGCAGGAATGTCTGGCCCTAGGCCACTGGCCTCCGGACAGTCTGGCATTCTGGAACCTGCGGGACGGGCTGGGGATTAGGTGGGATCTAGCTGGTGGCAGCAGTGTGTGTGGGGGGAGGGAAGGGACAGCAGACAGCGCACACACCCCCTTTCCCCTAGGGTTAGGGGTCAGTGCAGATCAAGATTCAGCTCTTATAGGGGTGTGCGTGGAAGCTTATCCCACCATTGTTCAACTTCTATCCAACCTGTGGGTACACGGGGTCTCCAAGGCTAGCATCTCTTCTCCTCCCCCACCTTCCATGCCGTCATTGGGTGGGGGAGTTGCCTAGAATACCATAGGCTGACACATTACCAAGCTTTCCCCCCTTGTCCTTGGTGAGAAGAGGGGGTTTACCAGTTGCATAGGGCCAGAAACTAAATATTTCCCAGCATGGTCTAGGTCTTGAGATGCAGCCACCTCTGGGGATGGTGTGGCAGAATGTCTGGGTTCTATTGCCAGCACATAGCTGGATGCAGGTGGGGGGAGGGAGGGGCACTGAACCCCGTGCTCTGCCTCCATGCCATCCCCTGGCATCTTAAGGCACTTGATGCTCTTCAGTGTTGTGGTTTCCAGCTATTTGCCAGGTCTAGAACTAGGATTGTTGGTGGGGTGGGAATGATCCCCTCCCCCCCCAACCATAATAGGAACAACTTCATCCTATGATGACTCTTATCTGGAGTGGGCCACACCTTGGGGTGCATCTGGGCTCCCCTTCCAAACCATCCTGCCAGAGGTGGAGATGAATGGGGTGGGGATTGACCCTTTCATTGCAGTGGGGTGAGGTTTTCCCCACCTGAAAGGGGAGCTGTGACCTAGAGGAGAAATTGCTGAGCTCCTTCCAGGTGCTGGCAGGACTTGTCTCTGCTGCATCTCTCTAGGGTGTGTCTACTGCACCTGCCCCCGATCGAAGTCCCTGCTGGATCTGAGGCTTCCCCCAGCATGGCACAATGGCTGTACCCAATGCTGCCCTATAGGGTGTCCAGATGTCCTGATTTCATAGGAACAGTCCTGATATTTGGGGCTTTGTCTTATATAGGTGCCTATTACTCCCACTCACTGTCCCAATTTTTCACACTTGCTGTCTGTCCACCCTACTGCCTTGCCACGCTCTGGAGTGGCCGAGATGCCATGTCCCAGTGTGTTGGGGAGAAGTGCCTGGCCCCCTAAACTCCACTGTGTGCTGTGCTGGATCTGAGTCTCTTGGTTCTCCTGATGTGTCAGAATCGGCATGCCCGATGCTGCTCAGAAACGGCCACGTATGGGAACAGAGCTGGGAGGCACTCTTGGCTGGCTCTAGAACCTGCCTGGCTGGCTTTTGAGTCTCTGTCCCAGCCACCCAGGTGAGGTGGTCACCAATCCTCTCCCTCTGCTCCACTTGCCCAGTCAGCTGCTTAGTGTAGACAGCAGCCGCTCCCATGCATGCTCAGGCCAGGATTTAGGGTGACCCCCAGTGGTGGTGCTAGGTAGTGCAGGCTGGCAAGCCTTTGGAAACCTCTGGGTCAGTCAGCCTCACTAGAGACTCATGTGGCCTAAAACCGCTTCCCCCTCAATTGGAAACCAGTGTCGCAGGAGAAGGCAGCTGCTGCAGCCTGGGTTCTATCCCTGGCTTTGCCACTGGCTCGCCCTGGGCAAATCTCTCCCCCTCTGTGCCTCAGTTGCCAACCTGCAAAAAGGGGGTGAATGACACTGACCTGTTTTGGGAGGTGCTCTGAGATCCACTGACAGAAAGCGCCAGGAGTCTGAGCATGTTCTGCGAGTCCTTGTACAGGGGACTCACCACAGACAGAACAGAGCCCTGCTCTTGGGTGGGTGCGTGGGTGTCTCCTGCCATGAGTTCAGCTGAGAAGCCCCCGCCCCAGCCTTCAGAGCCCAAGCTGAAATTTCAAAGCCCAGTCTATATCAGGAGTGGCCAAACGCTGATGCTCCGAGCCGCATACAATAATCTTCAGAAGTCTTGCGGCTCTTGAACAGGGGCAACCTGCTAAAGCCCTTAGACCCACTCCCCCCGTAGGGCAGAAGCCCCTAGTCGCACCACCCTGCCGCAGGACAGAAGCCCGAGCTCCCCCCCGTACAGACTGGTAGGCTGAGAATGGGGGCGGCCTCTGCAAGCCGCACTTTAACTGTAAAAGAGCTACGTGCGGCTCACGAGCCCCAGTTTGGCCCCACCCAGTCTACACCATTGTCTTTACAGCATTGGCGCGAGCCCTGCTGGGCAGAGACGGACATGGGCTGGCAGGCTCGGTCCGGCAGGCTCCGGAATGCAGTGTAAACATACCCATAAAGGCCCCAGGGACCCTGGGGATCTTCTAGTCCAGCCTCTGTAACCCAGGCCACAGGCCTTCCCTGGCCTTTGAGGGGGCTGGAGCAGACCTAGGAAAACAACTGATCCTGATGTCAAAACATGCAGTGAGGGTAGGTAGGCTGTTCAGGGGTTGATCCCCCGCCCTGCTAACTGCAGCCATGATGGCTTCTCAGCGATCATTGATTGAGCAGCATCTTTCCCCGGCAAGCCAGGTGCCTGGGCAAGGGGCTGTTCCCAGGGAGTTCAGTTGCGTATCCAGCACACAAAGCCAAGTGGGGGAGAGGCAGCTCGACTTTGTCACTGCAGTTATTTGAATAAACAAAACAATCTGGCAGGGTATTTGCCTAGTCAAGGCTCCCAGGAGGATCTGTGAGATGCT